AGAGGCTGATTAGGACTCCCTACTGGCAACGTGCATTTAGCGGGAGAAGCTGGAGTTTAAAGTCTATGTGGGGCGTGACATCATATGTAACATTTGGAGTAGAGTGATAACAGTTTCAACATCCTTGTTGTGTTTTCAATTACACAATTTACGTATCATTACATACGGTTGCACTGTCTTGCACAGCATGGTTCGGACACCTGGTGCAGAGTTCCTGGGCTTTCAGAGCACAGCTTAAACCTCTTCTTGTATCAAGGTGAATAGTTACACCTCAACTGGAACAATGGCACTTTTTCAATTTGTAGTCTTTTTTTAACAGTAAATAAGTTAAAAATACGGCTTTTGTATCATCACTTTTTTCTTACATTGCTGTGAGGGGATCTAGCGTCAAGGGCTGTGAGAGTAAAATCAGTATGTCAGAGTGTGTTTAACTTACTCCACTCAGATCAGAGCAATTTTTTATTTGCTGCTAAATTAATTCCAAAAACTTCCTGTACTTTAATTAACCCAAATAATTAACCCTAAATTAAAATTACTGTAAAAACTAGAATAGTTAGATTTATTGGCATTCTCTTGCCACTTTAAATGATGCTCTCAGACTTCTTCTGTTCACATAGAAGTCTTCAGCAAGAGGTGTTAAATCTACTGAGCCACCATCATTCTGCCAGACCGTAAAAAAATACTGACTAATTGCACCAATAAATAACTTCTCCATGGAGCCAAGCTCCAAGCGGAAGTTTACAAGTAGTTGTAAAGCAGCAAAAGGATGGTTGAGGATCTGTTTAATGGGGTCTAAATGGCCAATGTTTTTATCCATTTGGTGCAGCGCCATACTGGGAAAAATGACTGAACATGAACGCACTAAATGGGTTTCATCCACAAAGATGGAAACGACTTAAAAAAGGCTGCAACCGGACAGAGAAAACCAATAACTAAATCTGCAGCCCTCACAAAGAGTTTTACAAGCACAAACTCAAATGAATCATGGATCTCCATTAAGCTAACCTTCAGAATATCCTCTACAGTTACTGACTTACCGAAGGGAAATGTTCCTCCCAGCAGATACCACTGATATTTTGGACATTTTGCAAAATCAACCTGGAAAATTTTTAAATTCTTGCATTCACGTATTAAAGGGATCTGAATTTCCCCATTTTCTATTTCTGTTTCTAAAAAAATTAATTTTCCCTTGTTTGCCTTTTTCCACGCAGGTGTACAGGAAAACAACGACCTCAAAAGTGCCTCAAAGAATTTTCCCATCCAGTAGATATGAAAAACCTTTGCTACTCTGTTTAGTCCATCCAGTGGTTTGTGGACTGGGTGATTAACCAGTTGCTTTGCAGGCAACATGAACCACATTAGAAGCTCATAGTGAAACTGTGATGTCAGTATTTAAAGGCTTAGTGTAAAAACTGGTGGATCATTGTGGGAAAAGAAAAGAAAATCTCACCCCATTTGCAACAAGTTCCCTGCTTCTCATGCAACCAAGTCAAACAAAAGTTGACTCTTGTTTTAGTTCATGACTAAACGGGACATCATTTCACATACTCAAATGCTTAAATTGGATGATAAGCCTTCAAAGCAACCCCTCTGCCTTTGTGTCATGTAGCCTTTCACAATGACAACGACCAGAAAGATGTGCTTCCATCAGAATCAGAACGAATGACCGGGTGAATATTGGGAGGGAAAAAAAGTGACAAAAGAGAGAAGAGGAAGAAAATAGCCAGCGATGGGAAAGAGGAAAGGTGCAGAGGAGGATCTGCGGGAGGAGGAGGGCAGTGAAAGGAGGCCAGGGGAAGACTTAGCTGGAAGGGGGGGGCTCCAGCAGCAGCCGGCTGCAGGAATGTTCCACATGCCTGTCCTCTGCATGACCCGGCCTCCCTGGAGTGTGGGAGATACTGGGAGTAATTAGCCTCATTTAGCAGTGGCGCTGCGATGCTTTCTGCCTCAGCGGGGATAGCAGTGACATTGAGGGACAAGAGCCAGCCTCTCGTTTAAAAAAAAAAACAAAAAAAAAACAAGAGTTTTATCTTCTTTGGAATCACGATAGACGCAAACATTCTGATTCTTTGAGGCGTTTTTAATAAACATTTTTTAAAAGTGGTTTTATTGTTGGAAAATGCTGGAAATGACTCCCATTAATTTGAGGCCGAGCAGACTTCCTTCCCCCCACCCACCCGGCCCATCTCGCGGCTGACCTACTTTATCCTCTGCTAGATTTGATTAGGAATTCTCCAACTGCAAATATTTCTCCCTTAGAGTCGGATTGAAATGAGGAGAAACGGGGCCTAAAAAGTATTGATTTGCTAAAAGGTCTCGGGGTTCCAATCATAAAAAGTCGATACCGAAACGGGAGTGTCATCCGCTTTTTGCTTTGACGGCCTTTATTCAAAACAGGTGGAGGCTACTTTAAACAGAATTGCTCATCCATGGACACATACAAACAGACCAACACAAACTCTGAGGAGGTACGACAACAATACAATGAAAGTAGTCAGTCTATTGATTTAAAAACCTTTGAGGTGAAAATTCAGCCTCCTACTTCTATAGTTTGATACTATGGAGGCATTCGCCTTCAAAAAGCTTAATCCTCTAACCTGGAATCTGCTCTGTAACTGAATCAGATGTACACTTATGGGTTATAAAACACTGAACAAAAAAATAGAAAAATAAAGGATGGTCTCCTGCTATATTCAATTGGTGGTGGTGGTTTTATTTTTAGCTGCTATATTTAGCAACCCTAAAGAAACCTAGCTAATCTACCCCATAAAATCCAGGATATTAACTTACAACAACCTGGAATTCATTGGAATTCAGATCAAATTTGAGCAGCTTTTTGGTTCAGAAGTCTCTTGGAAGCACCAAATTCAACACTATTTATAGAAAACCTTTTCTTTTTCCTCTGATAACCCCCTCAAAAAGGATTGTGTTACCATGAAAAAGCGACCTTACAGTTTCTCTGTAGCATGCCTCCTAAAATTTAACCCCCAACATTAAATCCAACATTTAATGTTGATATATTCAACTTTTTATCCTATTACAATATCAAAATGTCTTAAATTCTCATGCAGCCAATAATTCCATGGTTTTTTACCTTGATTTCTCTATAAATAAATACATATCGACTTAAAATAATCATTTCATACCTGCAGAAGTTGGATGAGACTGTTTTGTATTCTTTCGGCTTTATTTTTCATCACTTGATTTACATCAAACACTAAAAACTGCAGGAAAGAGAGCCGCTTCGGGTTACTTTTTTAGCATCATTGTGTACATTTTACATTAAGCTCAACACGTTTATTTGCTAATGAAAGCGTTATCACACCTGGCAGCCTGCCTGCAAGCAATTAAGCGCATTCGGGGTGCATTGTGGGAAATGTAGGCGAGAGCAAAAACATGTTTTGTCTTGTGATACGAATCGGGACAGCTCAACATTTTTTTTATTTATTTACATGAGCTATTTTAAACCCAACTTTTACGCGCGACCTCGTCGGGAAAAGAAGTGGGTAACCCTGGTGTTTTTTCCCGCTCCGAACTGGTTCCCCAGTGACTTTTGTGCTGGTTTCCAGTGCCGCTGATGATGTCAGACAGCGGCTGGGTCATGTGAAGGGCAGCAGCATGGAGGAGTTCAGGGAGAGTTCAGCCGCATACATTAGGTAACGCCATCGCTCGCCGTGACATAACTGGTATGCGGCAGGCTAAGATGAGACATTTATCAATAAGACGCAGATAAGATTAAGAAGTCCTGCCACAAAAAAAAAAAAAAAAACTTTGTTATGCAAAACACGCGCCGCGGACCTGGATGCGCTCTACCTCTGGGGCGAGTCCGCCGGTTGCGCGCCAGCGTGCTCAGTTTGTGCGCGGCCGTGGGGGAATATCGGTCGTTTCCTGCGCGCACACGCCCATCCCAACGCAACACGGACATGCATCGCCGCTAAACCCGATTGTAAACTAATAACCACGGCGGTGCAGACGCAGGAAAAGTCGCGTTTTGTTTTTGTTTTTTTGTTTTTTTTGGGTTGGAGGATTTTCCATGCTGACGTCCCCCCGACGGGATCCGCCGATCTGATCATGTTTGACTTCATGGAATTCCCAGTTTTCGGTCCGGGAGAGGTCCTGGACTTCCACTCTGCCTCCAGCCCCGCGTGCACGCTGCAGGAGCAGGAGCAGGAGCCGGATTCGGACCTGGCAGCTTTCTTCCCGGAGCTGATCGAGTGCGACTGGCAGGCGCACCGCTGCTCACAGTGTAGGTGGAAGCCGGTGATGAGAGGAGAGATAAAAGCTGCAAACTAAAAAAAAAAAAAAGAAAAGGAGAAAAAAAAACATCCGCTTCTTTCACTGGCAGAAAACAACTGGTGTTGAGTCAGCTCCATCAACCTATATTTAGTACAGCCTGATCCTAAATAAAACACCACGGGTTTGCCTCATGGCGTCGGGTCTGACGCGTGAGCCTCTGGTTTAAACCTTTTTTTTTTTACCTTTGTGGTTTAAAGCCTTTATTACTTTGCAGATATTAATCCATCCTGCAATTTATAGACAATTTATAGCAACCATCGATCCTTCCAATCGATCCAGTGGCCGTCGAAGTTATGGATATATATGGAATTTGGATGGATATATATATATATATATATATATGTGTGTGTGTGTGTGTGTGTGTGTGTGTGTAATGGCTATTATCTGGATCAATTAGTCTCCAAAAAAACATCTTTTATTTATTTATTTATGGTAAAGCACATTCCAAGCCTTGGAGTTTAAATTATTCTCATCTGTATATGAGGTTTCTTTAAAGTAATTGCCATAATATTTAAAAGAGTCCAATTGCCACGAATATTACAACGCAGGCTGTGAAAAGACTCGATTGAACACGTCAATTGAATATGATTTTGGACTTGAGAGTAGGAACTATGTGCTCCTGTTTGAGAGCCTTCTTTGCTTTGCAGTGCAGTGATTTCTGCGGATTATTAAATTTCTACGGATTATTAGGCGTGTCAGCTGCACGGCTGCTGCGTTGGGATGCAAAATGTGGCTGTCTGGAAGAGGGGTCCGAGCCGGTCACTTTTGGGCCGCCGTGGGTTCACCGGCCGGTCACCAGGGGGGGGGGAGCGGGGGGGGGGGGGGGGGGGGGGGGGCAGAGGAGAGACAAACCTGTGAGGGGTGGAAGGAAAACTCCACTTATGCTTTAAAACAGGAGAATATAAACAGCAAAAGATGACAAACCCAAAAAGGGGCCCTTGAATTGAATTTTTTCTTAAATCCACATTTTTTGGCGATGTTCACAAGTTAAAATCCTGACAGAATACAGACATTAGATGAAATGAATGAAGTAACTTGAACTTCTTCTCCAGACGTCGTGTGTCGTACTGCAAAACCCTGCTGTGGGTTTTCGATATTTGAACAGATCTGAGATACACATTTCAAACCTGTCAAAAGAATGCACATTGTCAATACTTATAGATAACAGAAATCCTCACGATGCCTGAAAAAAGAGCAGCTATAGTGTTAAATATTATGACTTGCCGTTGTTATTGGCTGTGTTCTGTTGGAAATTTTAAGCAAAAACCATGAAAATGTCGCTTCTTGATTCATAAATGAAGTTTTAATGTTTTTATGTGGGATGTGGGGCTACATTTTTAACACATTTTGGGTTTAAAGTGTTTCAAATTCAGCCGTTTAGACATATTTAGCTTCTGTATTATCTATCTGCATATTAATCACCAACAGAAACAATTGTCAGTGTTAATTTAGTCAAATAACTTTGTGGCTAATTGACTTGTGGGACATCAGAAAATGTTCAGTTTTAGCTGTTTTTTTTTTTTTTTACATATGAATAACAACAAAACAAGCAAATGATCTCACACTGTGTCTCGGCTGAAGCACGCCAGATGTGTTGTGTGATGTCAGAATTCATGGAGAAAGAATAAGGAGCTTAGAAGAAGTTAATCTCTCAAACTGAACCCGAATTTTCTTTCTTGGTTTTATAGCGTTGGGGAGCATTTTGTTTTGACCAAGCAGTCAGATAAGTGGAAGTTCTTTCCCTTTTCTCCATCCTGAGCACTGCTTGTTGACTTTCTTCACATAATGCATTTTGGCATACATCAAACAACACCACCTAATGGGGGAAACTGTTTCCCCGCCCCCCCCCC